TCTTTGTGCAATTGTTGTCTGTCCTAATCTCAACGACATATTGATAATGTTGTCTTCTTCTTCTTGATGGTTGCTGCAATCTGGTTGAAACAAAATCCATTAATGTTTTGCTTGAGAAAAAAATACAGGTGGGCCATTCTTCATATCGACTTGTTGTTGTGATGTGGATAGATGTGTATTCTTCTTTGTATTTTTGTTGTCATATTAAAGATGGTATTACTTAGTAAGTTGAGGTTCATTATGTAAATAGGAGAAATTAGAGGAGTAGTTAGCAAATAGGTAGTTAAAGTAGTTACAAAATATTCTTCTCTTTCCTGTATAAATACTAACTAAACATGTTAGTTACAGGTAGAAAAGACTTAACAGATTGTATAATGCAACGACGAGTTTTCTTCTTCTTCTGAACTTCTTCTGAGAATCTGCACATTACAGATTACTCAATCTTCATAGTTTTCATGGTATCAGAGCCTTTGGAGGCAGTAAATGATTGTTCAAATCACTGCATATCATCTACATAAGCAACAGACGAACCCATGGCAACAGTTGATAACGAGCTGCCTGAAAAACTAAGCCATAATCATTCTCTGTTCTTGAACACCATTGACAATTCTTGTCTATTGCTAAGTTCATTTCAATTGACTGGAGCTGATAACTACTCAGTATGGAGTCGAGTATTAAAGATTGCAATTATAGGTCGAAATAAGTTGGGATTTATCGACGGTTCATGTAAAAAGGAAGCATATGGTCCAAATCTAGTGAATCTGTGGGAAAGATGCAATGAAATTCTATTATCTTGGATCATGAATTGTGTTTCAAAAGAGTTACTTGGAGGTATTATTTATTCTACAAATGCTGCATCTGTATGGAAAGATCTGGCTAAACGATATGATAAAGTTAATGGATTTTGTATCTTCCAACTACACAAAGAAATTGCCACTGTGAGTCAAGGTACTAGTTCAATTTTAACATATTTCTCTAGATTACGTGAGCTGTGGGTAGAGTATTATAGTCTAACTCCTGTTCCATGTTGTGAGTGTGTAAATTCAAGAGAATTTGTGAAATTTGTACACAATAAGAAGTTACTTCAGCTTCTTATGGGGTTTAATGACTCATATGAACAAGCTATAGGACATATATTGATGATGATACCTCTACCTTCATTGAACAAAACATATTCAATCTTAATTGAAGGAGAAAGTCAGAGAACCATGTCACAAATCTCCAGTAGAGCTAATTGTTCTGAACTAAATGCCATATTCACTTCAGGAAACAATACTAATGCTATGGTCCCTAGATTAAGACCTTACAACAATTCTATCTATGATCCAAATGCATTCTGTGATTACTGTAAAAGAACATGTCATACACAGGCTGATTGCTATCAGCTTCATGGTTTTCCCCCAGGATTTGAAAGAAAGAAGAAGAATCCTAAAAATACATATCAGGGGAGAGGAGGCAAAATATTACTGCTCACAATGAAGTAAGTGATGTTGATATATATGTTAATAGAGGTGTAAATTCAAGAAGACAGGGTTATGGAAGAGGATCGATAAACACTGAACATGTTGAATATCAAAAAGGCATGACTATGATGCATGAACAATATAATCAGATCTTACACATGCTTGGACAAACTAATATGCAGCAAGAAAATTCTGAAGGAGCATCTACATCACATTACAATGCTAATGTAGCCCAAGCTAATTGCTCTTCAGTAGGTGAATCAGCAGGTAATGGAGCTGCTTTTATTGTAACTTCAACCATGACTGGCTGGATAATAGATTCTGGTGCAACAAATCATATGACTCCTAACTCTGATATTCTTACTCATAAACATCCACTTCCTAGTAATAAACCTAGAAATATTCAATTACCCAATGGTGAAACAAATCAAATTACTCATATAGGTTCCTGCAATATAACTTTTCAAAACACACTAAGAAATGTTCTTCTTATTCCTGAATTTAAATTCAATTTACTATCAGTTTCACAAATTACTAAGGATCTTAAATGTGTTGTGTGCTTCTTTCCTATTTTTGTTACTCTCCAGGACCTCTCCAATGGGGAGGTTAAGATGATTGGTATAGAACATGATGGTCTTTATATACTGCCTAACAAATCCTTATCTTCTCTCAACACAAATGAAAAATGTTCATCACATTTAGCACATGGAGACAATCACTTCACAGATTCACAAGCTTTATTGTGGCATCAAAGGCTAGGACATACTTCTTCCAATGTTCTGGCTCATCTATTAGATATTTCACCTAGTAAATGTTCTAAAGATCTGCATAATTGTATCATTTGCCCCTTGGCAAAACAACATAGATTACCATTTCCAAATAGTACTACTAGTTCTACTTCTCCTTTCCAGCTATTGCATATTGATTTCTGGGGTCCTTTTAACACCCCTACCTATGATGGACATAAATTCTTTGTTACTATAGTTGATGATTGTACCAGATTACTATGGTTGTTTCTAATAAGAATGAAGAGTGATGTTTGTGTTGTTCTGAAAAACTTCTTCATTTTTGCTAAAACACAGTTCAATGCTGTAGTTAAAATGGTTAGAACTGACAATGGATCTGAGTTTGTAAATGCTGAGTGTCACAAACTATTTACAAGCTTAGGTATTATTCATCAGAGAACTTGCATACATACACCTCAGCAAAATGGTGTTGCAGAGAGAAAACACAAACATATTCTTGAAGTGGCTAGAGCAATCAAATTCCAAGGGCATATTCCTATCAAGTTTTGGGGTCATTGCATACTTGCAGCTGCTTACATAATAAATTTGTTACCTACTCCAGTGTTACATGGTAAATCTCCTCGTGAAGTGTTTCATAAAACTAAACCTACTATACAACATTTGAGAGTTTTAGGGTGCCTGTGTTTTGCAAAGAATATGTATATACATGATAAGTTTCAACCAAGAAGTATTGTTCCTGTTCATATGGGATATAGTACTACTACTAAGGGTTATCTTCTCTACAACTTTAAGGAAAAACAGTTCTTCATTAGCAGAGATGTGGAATTTAGGGAAACCCCATTTCCATTTGCAGTTTCTTCTTCCACTGAATGACACTTGTTTCCTTTTGTCAAAGTTCCATTAGAAGCATCACAGCCTGTGTCTCCATCTTTTATGGTTGAGTCTACTAAATAGTCTGCAGAATTGTCTAATTCTCAAATTTTTGAGGTTAGAAGATCACAGAGGAGTACCAAAGCTCCTTTATGGATGCAAGATTATGTTGCTTCCGCTCATCTCACTCCTAGTAGACCTCTATATTCTATTGACAAATATCTTGGCTATGATTATCTGTCTAAGTCCTATCAGGCTTTTCTTTCCTCTTTTGGTCATGAGGTTGAACCTGGTACCTTTGAAGAAGCATATAAGGATCCCAGATGGGTTGAAGCCATGCAGGCTGAGATCTCAGCCTTGGGAACTCATCAGACTTGGAAGGTAGTACCTTTACCTCCACACGAAAAGGCCATTGGTTGTAAGTGGATTTTTAAAATAATATATCAAGCTTCAGGGGAGGTTGAAAGAATCAAAGCTCGACTAGTTGCAAAGGGATTTAACCAAAGAGAGGGACTGGATTATAAAGAAACTTTTTCTCCTGTTGATAAGATGGTTACAGTCAGAAGTGAGTTGGCTTTGGCTGCTGTTGAAAACTTTCATATTCATCAGATGGATGTGTCAAATGCCTTCCTTCAAGGGGACTTATTTGATGAAGTTTATATGAATCTACCTCAAGGCTTTCAGCTTCCTGAGGGATTTATTGTGCAGGGGGAGAAACTAGTGTGTAGGCTCACTAAATCCCTGTATGGTTTGAAGCAAGCCCCTAGACAGTAGAATGTGAAGCTCACAGATGCACTCATCAGATTGGGATTTACTCAGATTCATGCAGATTATTCATTGTTCATTAAGAGAACAAAAACATCATTGGTTATACTTCTAGTATATGTTGATGATATGATGATTACAGGTAATGACTTTAGTCTTATTCAACAAACCAAAGAAGTTTTGCAGGATGCTTTTAAGATGAAAGACCTAGGAGAACTCAGGTATTTCCTAGGAATTGAATTTGCTAGATCAAAAGAAGGGATTGTCATGCATCAAAGGAAATACTCTCTTGAAATCATTTCTGAAGCTGGACTTAGAGCTACTAAACCAGCTTTTACACCTATTGATCCTTATGTACAGTTAACTACAAAGGAGTATGATGAAACAAATGGAATAGGAAAGGAAGATAAGTTACTGGAGGATCCAACAGTATATAGAAGATTAGTTGGAAAATTGTTGTATCTAAATGTTATTAGGCCTGACATTGCTTTTGCTACAAAAACACTTAGTCAGTTTCTTCATCAACCAAAACAATCTCATCTCAATGCTGCACTTAAGGTTGTCAAATATGTCAAGGGACAAGCAGGACTAGGTGTATTATTAACAAGCAAGAATAACATACAGTTAAAGGTCTATTGTGACTCAGATTGGGGAGCATGCTTACACACCAGAAGATCTGTTACTGGATTCATTGTTATGCTGGGAGATTCATTTATATCATGGAAATCAAAGAAACAAGGAACTATATCTAGAAGTTCAGCTGAAGCTGAGTATAGAAGCATGGCAAGTGTTGTAGCTGAAGTAGTATGGATAACAAAACTATTCAAGGAACTAGGAGCTGATGTTGTAACCCTAGCTATCATTTATAGTGATAGCAAGTTAGCTATACAAATTGCTGCCAATCCAGTATTACATGAAAGAACTAAGCATATAGAATTGGATTGTCATTTCATAAGAGAGAAAATTCAGAATGGTCTAATTCATACTGAATATCTGCATAACAAAGAGCAAGAGGCTGATATACTAACTAAAGGTCTTAGCAAGTTTCAACATGAATATTTATTATCCAAATTTGGAGTATTGAATCTGTTCACTCCTACAAACTTGAGGGGGAGTATTAAAGATGGTATTACTTAGTTAGTTGAGGTTCATTATGTAAATAGGAGAAATTAGAGGAGTAGTTAGCAAATAGGCAGTTAAAGTAGTTACAAAATATTCTTCTCTTTCCTGTATAAATACTAACTAAACATGTTAGTTACATGTAGAAAAGATTTAACAGATTGTATAATGCAAAGATGAGTTTTCTTCTTCTTCTGAACTTCTTCTAAGAATCTGCACATTACAGATTACTCATTCTTCATAGTTTTTATGTCTCCCCTAATGTCAAAGACATATTGATAAAGGTATCTTCTTCTTCCTCGCGTTGTAACTGCTCGATCTGGAAGAAATGAAATCCATTAAAGCTTTGCTTGAAAAAATATTCAGTTGTGTCATTCTTGTGATTGAGCTATTGTTGTGCAATAGTCACCTCTATGTAACAATCAGTGAACCCATATATACTCAACTCACATGTGTATTCTTCTTTATGCTGTTGTTGTCTCCCATAATCTCAACTACGTATTGTTAAAGGTTTCTTCTTCTTCCTCATGTTGTTGTTGCAATCTGGTTGAAACAATATCAATTAAAGCTTTGCTTGAGACAAAATTTCAGGTGTTTTCATTCTTCTAATTGAGTTGTTGTTGTGCTGCGAATAGATGTATATTCTTCTTTGTGCAATTGTTGTATCTCCTAATATCAACGACATATTGATAATGTTGTCTTCTTCTTCCTGACGTTGTTGCTGCAATCTGGTTGAAACAGAATCCAATAAAGTTTTGCTTGAGAAAAAATTACAGGTGGGCCATTCTTCATATCGACTTGTTGTTGTGCTGTGGATAGATGTGTATTCTTCTTTGTATTTTTGTTGTCTCCCCTAAGCTCAAAGACATTGATAAAGGTATCTGCTTCTTCCTCGCGTTGTTACAGCTCGATCTGGTAGAAATAGAACCCATTAAAGCTTTTCTTGAAAAAATATTAAGTTGTGTCATTCTTGTGATTGAGCTATTGTTGTGCAATGGTCACCTCTCTGTAACAATCAGTGGACCCATATATACTCAACTCACATGAAAATTCCTTGTAATTACTAGTCTCTTAATCCTCCCCCCAGTAACCCTTTTCTTGATATCTCTTTCTGGTCAGATAGATACAAAGTTACTATCTTGAAAAATTGTATCTTTATGCTAATTTGCAGACACCCTCACCCATCAAAGATCTCTAAATACTCGAAATGCAAAATCTGACACATTACAAAAATTTTAAGAGCTAGAGACCAAAGAACATAATTTAATTCTTTGTTTTCTCTATTTTTTAGAAGTGTTAATTGACCAAGACTTCTCATGTTGAAGTGTTTGTTGGGTATGTAGCAAGAATTGATGGAAAATAGAGGGAAGGAGAGGAATTTGAAAAGCTTAGAACTTGAAAGGTTGGGAACTTGAAAAGTCCTCTAATGCTTGAATAAAAAAGACAATAGTCCCTCATCGGTAATGTAAATGAAAATAGGAGAGTTTAAATAAATAAAAACTCCTATTAATTATTAAAAGAGTTGGAAAGAGGGACCCCCCTTGCGCCGTCGTCGTCGTCGCTCGCTCGTTTCGGCTTCGGCTACGACTTCGGCTTTGGATTTGGCTTTTGCTTTGGCTTTGGCTTTGGCTTTGGAAAATGATCGATTGAGAGATTATTTTTTGGACAAATTTATTTTAATTATTTATTTAATTAATTAAATGGCCAAAAATTATTTTCAATTAATCAGTTGATAACAGAAATTAACCGAAATGTTTTCGACTTTTTAGTTAACCCGATTCGACTTGGATCCGCGCGCATGACCCGTTTTAAATTTTGTTATATTTAAAAAATTCCTGCCATTGTTCTGAAAAGTTGCAAGTTTCAGGAACAGTCAATACCATTTGAAAGTTTGCAACCTTTCATTAATGGTCCTGTCAATTCAGAAAGGGCTGCAACCTTTAAGAATATATTATTCTTGCCTATAAATACCATTCAGTCTTCAGATTATTTCCCAATGAATTTTATGATTTTCCTTCTTCTTAAAAAAACACATTTTTTCGTATATTTTCCTACTGTGGATTGATTCGCTGACAGTAGAGTTTTTGGTATCTATACTCTACTGATTAAGATCATTTTACCCTGGGAGGTTATATTCCATATCAAACCTCGGATACTAGAGGGGAATAATTTCCTTAAGGGGACACTGTGAATTCAATGGACTTGATTTTCTTTCTAAATCTTTAAAAAGAGTATTCAAGATTCTGGTAAGTTTTACAGATTAAATTATTTTTTACAAATAAATTTCTGTTCATCTTATTTACTGGTTCTAAAAATCATAGTTACTTCGTGTTTCTGTATGATTTATTACAACTAGTAATTTCTGATTTTCTTAACATAGATTGGCAACAATCTTAAGGAAATTATTTTAGATATGTGTTTCTGGTGGAGACAAAAATCATTGTGATTTAATACTCCTTTAAGTCATCAATTATAATTTATTGCTAACTTATATTGTATCAATTTTGTTTATCAGAAATGGAAAACATTGGTGTTACAGTGGCTGTTGCTGCACCAACCCGAACTCTTGTATCACAAGTACAGAAACCGGGTAAATTTAAAGGTGTGAATTTCAAAAGATGGCAGCAACGAGTATTTTTCTGGTTTACCACTCTTGGTCTGCAGAAATTTACAAGTGAAGATACTCCAGTACCTACTGATGATATGCCAGACAATGAAAAATTTATGATTGTTGAATCATGGAAACAATCAGACTTCCTATGTAAAGGTTACATTTTGAGTGCTTTAGAGGATGACTTACATAATGTCTATAGTGCAATAACAACTTCAAAAGAGTTATGGAATGCACTTGAGAAGAAATATAAGACTGAAGATGCATGCTTTAAAAAATTTGTGGTTGCAAAATTTTTAGACTATAAAATGGTAGATAGTAAAACTGTTGGATCACAAGTGGAGGAACTTCAACTTATTCTCCATGATCTGATTGCTGAAGATATGGTAGTAAATGAAGCTTTTCAAGTGGCTGCAATGATCAAGAAGTTGCCTCCTTTGTGGAATGATTTCAAGAATTATCTAAAGCAGAAGCGTAAAAAAATGAAGCTTGAAGATCTTGTGATTCGTCTCAAGATTGAGGAAGATAACAGAAATGCCGAAAAGAAGTCGCGTAAGAGTTCAACAATCATTGGATTTAATATTGTTGAAGAAGCTCCTACCAAAGACAAAAAGAGAAAAAAGTCCAACGGGCAGATGTCAGAACAGTCCAAGAAGAAATTCAAAGGCAACTGTTATAATTGTGGCAAGGCTGGTCATAGATCTTCTGAATTGTCATGTTCCAAGAGAGGACAAAAACAAAGGCAAAGGCAAAATTCAAGCAAACATCGTGGAAAAGATGGAAGATGCAGATGACTTGTGTGCAATGATATCAGAGTGTAAATTAGTTGGAAATCCCAAGGAGTTGTTTCTCGACTCAGGTGCTACTAGACATATTTGCTCTGCAAAAGAAGCCTTTGCAACGTACACTTCTGCTGAGTACGATGAAGATTTATTCATGGGAAACACAGCAACAGCAAGGATTGCAGGAATTGGGAAAGTAATGCTGAAAATGACATCCGGCAAAGTGTTGACTTTAAACACTGTTCTGCATGTCCCTACTATTAGGAAATATTTAGTTTCTGCAGTACAACTCGTTAAGAACAGGTTTAAGTGTGTCCTAGTTAGTGATAAAGCTGTAATAAGTACGAATGCAATGTTTATAGGAAAGAGCTACCTCAATTAGGGTCTTTTCAAACTAAATGTAATGGTTATTGACAGTATTAATAAAACTTCTGCTTCTGTTTACTTACTGGAGTTAAGTGATTTATGGCATGCCCGTTTGGGACATCTAAATTACAAAGCCTTGCGAAAATTGATTAATCTAGAAGTATTGCCTGATTTTAAATGCAATAAGTAGAAATGTGAAATTTGTGTGGAAAGTAAGTTTGTTAAACATCCTTACAAGTCTGTTGAAAGAAATTCTAAAACTTTAGACTTAATTCACACAGATATATGCGATATGAAGTCAACACCATCTCATGGTAGGAAAAAGTATTTTATAACTTTTATTGATGACTGCACTCGATTTTGTTATGTATATTTGCTTAATAGTAAGGATGAAGTAATTGATGCATTTAAGCAATACAAAAATGAAGTGGAAAACCAATTGAATCTAATGATAAAAATGATTCGGAGTGACAGGGGTGGAGAATATGAATCTCGTTTTGCAGAGATATGTTTGGAATATGGTATTATTCATCAAACTACTGCACCTTATACACCACAGTCAAATGTTTTGGCAGAACGGAAGAACAAAACATTAAAGGAAATGATGAATGCCTTAATGATCAATTCTGGTTCACCGTGAAATCTTTGGGGGGAAGCTATCCTTACAGTTAATAAAATACTCAATAGAGTATCCCATCGAAAAAAATCAATTCCATATGAGTTGTGGAAAGGAAGAAAACCCAACTTGAAATATTTCAAAGTGTGGGGGTGTTTAACCAAGGTAGAGTTTCCTTTACCTAAGAGGGTTAAAATTGGACCCAAAACAATAGATTATGTCTTTATTGGGTATGCTGTGAATAGTAAAGCCAGTCGATTTTTGGTTCACAAATCTGATAATCCTAAGATTCATGTTAATACGATAATTGAATCAGATAATGCAGAACTTTTTTAAAACATTTATCCGTATAAAACTGAAAGTGAGTCAACAAGTGAAAGACCTAAACGACCACGAGAAGAATCAATGGAAAATATTCTAACTAGTGAGCAACCTAGGCGAAGTACTCGACAACGAAAATTTGTTTCTTTCATACTAGATTTTGTAGCACTATTGCTTGAAAATGAGCCTCAAACATTTAAAGCAACTATGTCTTTGTCAGAGTTAACTTATTGGAAAGAAGCAGTCAATAGTGAGATTGAATCAATTTTAAGCAATCACACTTGGGAATTGACTGATCTTCCTCCAGGAAATAAACCTTTAGGATCAAAATGGATCTTTAAAAGAAAAATGAAACCTGATGGGACTATTGACCAATATAAGGCTAGACTGGTAGTCAAAGGGTACAGACAAAAGGAAGGTCTGGACTACTTTGACACATACTCTCCAGTAACAAGGATAACATCAATTAGGATGTTAATAGCACTAGTAGCAGTGCATGATTTTAAAAACCACCAAATGGATGTAAAGACAGCCTTCTTAAATGGAGAGTTAGAGGAAGAAATTTACATGGAACAACCTGAAGGGTTTATAGTTCCTGGCAAAGAAAAGAAAGTGTGCAGACTTGTGAAGTCACTTTATGGACTCAAGCAAGCACCCAAACAATGGCATGCTAAATTTGATCAAATAATGTTGGCAAATGGATTTAAGATTAACGAATGTGATAAATGTGTTTACATTAAAAACGTTATGAATCATGAAGTAATTGTTTGTTTGTATGTTTATGACATGTTAATAATGAGTAAAGAAATTGACGATATAAATGCTACTAAGCGCATGTTGTCCTGCAAATTCGATATGAAAGACTTAGGAGTTGCTGATTGGATCTTAGGGGTCAGGATTATCAAAACTCCCCAAGGACTAGCATTATCTCAATCTCATTATATTGAAAAAGTATTGGATAAGTTCGATTACTTGAATTTCAATGTAGTCAAAACTCCAATTGATTTAAGTTGTACATTTAAAAATAATGAAGCTCAAAGTGATTCTCAATTGGAATATGCCAGGGTGTTGGGAAGTTTGATGTATATTATGAATTGCACGCGACCAGATATAGCATGTGCTATTAGTAAACTGAGTCGGTACACTAGTAATCCGAATCAAACTCACTGGATGGCTATGAAACGTGTGTTGGGTTATTTAAAATGGACACAACATTATGCTTTGCATTATAATAAATATCCTGCTGTGATTGAAGGATATAGTGATGCAAATTGGATCACCGGGTCAAATGATGTAAAATCCACGAGTTGTTATGTATTCATGCTTGGTGGAGGAGCTGTCTCTTGGAAATCTTCCAAACAGACATGTCTTGCTCGCTCCACAATGGAATCTTAATTCATTGCTTTGGATAAGGCTGGTGAAGAAGAGGAATGGCTCTGAAATTTTCTAGAGGATATTCCATTCTGGCCAAACCTGTTGGACCAATTTGCATACATTGCAATAGTCAAGCAGCATTAGGTAGGGAAGGGAGCGTTATGTACAAAGGAAAGTCTCGTCATATACAATGTAGACATAAAACCATAAGACAACTGCTCTCTAGTGGAATTATCACAATTGACTATGTAAAGTCAAACGATAATGTGTCAGATCCACTAACGAAAGGCTTAGTGAGAGAGGCAGTAGAAAGATCATCTAAGGGAATGGGTTTACGGCTTAGGACAAGTCAGCATGACGGTAACTCTATCTAGCGGACTGGAGATCCCAAGAGCAAGATTCAAGGAGAAAAACAAAGTTGTGGCTGACGGTTCGACATTGTCAATTAACTCAATCCATTCTCAAGATGAAGACAATGTTCAGGAAAAGGTTAAGATTTTAAGGCTTGTTAATGAGGTAATAAAGCTTAAAGTTTTTAATGATTTGCTAAGATTGGTATATTTGACCAAATAGTGTATCTACGAGATGACAAGGTTAGAAATTACCTATGTGAGTGTGAAGTGGAAGCCACTTCAAAGATAATTTTATGTCAAAAGTCTATTCTCTATACACTCATGAAACCAGGAGGTGTTCATGGCTAAAACGAACACAATTGTAAGAATCATAAACAGTAAAGGGTTAATTGTGTGACATATGGTTGTCTAGGTATACACCAAAGTTTGACGGTTCAAAGATATCACTTCTACCGATTGACCGAGTATATCCGACAATTGTTCACTACGGAAAGTCCAACGGGAAACCTACTTATCTAGATGCAATTAATCCTTGCTTGTAAAGTACACAATTGTCCGTGCATTACTATGTTATAGCTTTTCCCCATCAATGTGGGGGATTGTTGGTTATGTAGCAAGTATTGATGGGAAATAGAGGGAAGGAGAAGAATTAGAAAAGTTTAGAACTTGAAAGGTTGAGAACTTGAAAAGTCCTCTAATGCTTTAATAAAAAAAGGCAATAGTCCCTCATCGGTAATGGAAATGAAAATAGGAGAGTTTAAATAAATAAAAATTCCTATTAATTATTAAAAGGGTTGGAAAGAGGGACCCCCCTCGCGCCGTCGTTGTCGTCGCTCGCTCGCTTCGGCTTTGGCTTTGGCTTTTGCAAATGATCGATTGAGATATAATTTTTTGGACAAATTTATTTTAATTATTTATTTAATTAATTAAATGGCCAAAAATTATTTTCAATTAATCAGTTGATAACAGAAATTAACCGAAATATTTTCAACTTTTTAGTTAAACCGACCCGACTCGGATCCGCGCGCGTGACCGATTTTAAATTCTGTTATATTTAAAAAATTCATGCCACTATTCTGAAAGATTGGAACTTTTAGGAACAGTCAATACCATTTGAAAGTTTGAAAACTTTCATTAATGGTCATGTCAATTCTAAAAGGGTTGCAACCTTTCAGAATATATTGTTCTTGCCTATAAATACCATTCAGTCTTCAGAATATTTCCCAACGAATTTTTTGATCTTCCTTCTTCTTAAAAAAACACATTTTTTCGTGTACTTTCCTACTGTGGATTGATTCGCTGACAGTACAGTTTTTGGTATCTATACTCTACTGATTAAGATCATTTTACCCTGGGAGGTTATATTCCAAATCAAACCTCGGATACTAGAGGGGAATAATTTCCTTAAGGGGACACTGTGAATTCAATGGACTTGATTTTCTTCCTAAATCTTTAAAAAGAGTATTCAAGATTCTGGTAAGTTTTACAGATTAAATTATTTTTTACAAATAAATTTCTGTTCATTTTATTTACCGATTCTAAAAATCTCAGTTACTTCGTGTTTCTGAATGATTTATTACAACAAGTAATTTCTGATTTTCTTAACACAGATTGGCAACAGTGTTTTGATAGATTTGCAGATTTGCCTTAGTAGTTTAATCAATCGAGGTAGGATTCCTACCTTGTTTTATGGAGTGTTTCTCTTTGCAACCTTAATCTGCTGCAATTCTTCATTTTTTTCGGTTCTGATCTTACTCCTTCTCCTGCACTTGAAAAGAAAACGTAGATGAATTTGAACATGTGTAATACTTAACTTTAAGAAAGTCTGAAAAAAGAGAAAAATATCATGTCCATCGGTTTATAGGTATATATAAAATTGTTGTAATTAACTCTACTTTTTTGTTCTAAAAATCTGCAACATCAACTGGAAAAAGAGAAACTTAATCAAAAAAATTAGTAACTATAACTAGGAGGTGTTTTTCATTTGGTCTTATAGATAGAAGTTATGTTCATTTTGTGAGAAGTTGTGTGGATTCTGTGATTTTACGAGTTAGAGACCAGATAACATAAATTAATTATGTTTTTTTCTCTATTTTTAAGAAGTCATACCTGTCTGCTCGTGACAAGTTTTGTGTTAATGGACCAAGACTTCTCCTGTTGAAGTGTTTTGATTGTCGTGCAGATTTTCCTTAGTAATTTCATCAACCAGGTAGGAGTCCTACATTGTTTGTATGGAATGTTTGTCTTTGCAGGCTAAACTTGCTGCAATTATCCAATTTTTTTTCCGATTTTGATCTTTCTCATTCTCCTGCACTTGAACAGAAAACATAGATGAATTCGAACATGGGTAATACTTAACTTTAAAAAAGTTTGAAAAAAGAGTAAAATGTATTATGTCCATCAGTTTACAGGTATATATAAAATAATGGTAATTAAGTCTACTTTTTTGTTATAAAAATCTGCAAAAACAACGTGAATAAGAGAAATTTAATCAAGAAATTTAGCAACAACGACTGGGAGGTCTTTTTCATTTGGTCTTACAGATAGAAGTTATGTTCATTTTGTCTTACAAAGAGAAGATGTGTGGATCTTATTGTAACTAGTTGTATGGATCTTAGAATTTTCTTATCCTTTGTTTTTCAATCTATATCTTTTGTCCTTATAAAGGTTATGGTACCTAGTTAAGGAGTGGATGCAACTTGTTGATCATCGTCTCGATGAAATGTACTTACTCGGTGTGCAAACATTTTTGGATTGTGATTTTAAAAAAAAACAAGAGATTAATATGAAATATGATGTCCCTGTGTCAAATGTTACAACAACTTTAGGAACTCTTAAAACAGTTGAGACACGTTTGCTAGTACATGGAATAATTCGCAGTTATACTTTTTGGTATCACCATGGAGAACGTTTGGGTGAGCCATTATCAGAATCATAATATGAAGATGAAGAACAAGATGATGATGCAGTAGACGAATGTGAGAGTGAAGATGAAGTAGAAGAACTATTAAGAGTTTTATATCCTAATATTGATGGAGGAACTACACATACTGATTGTAATGACTTACTTGAGAGGAACCAAATGCTAATGCAAAAAAGTTTTACAACCCATTGAATGATTTTGAGATTCCATTGTATCAAAATTTAAAAGCTTCAAGGCTTTCCACTTTTATGAAGTGTGTTAGTTGACATGTTGACTTTGATGATAAGGGCGAAAAGATGGAAATCGACCAGATTTGACAACTATCTTTTTGAGATTTGTAAGAAAGATAAAAATATTGTTAAACCAGAAGCAATTCCTAAGCATGTGCATTTTGTAAATTAAATATGTTTATTACTTAAAGGCGTTATATGTTATCATCGAAAATGGTCTTTGATAAATTTTGTAGGCTGAAATCAAAGAAATAATTCAAGCAGATCCATCTCTACCTCCTATAGAGATTATTGAAAATTGTTGTGGACCTCAAACTCGTAGCCGCGTATTTAGATTTGGGGGTCGATTAAAGGCAAAAGACATGAAAGGCGGAACTTTTTTGAAAGCTGAGTTGTTATGTGCGCTACATTCAACTCGAGAAGATATCAAATCTTTGAATAAAGAGAACATATCCTTGAATGAGGAAAACAAGTCCTTGCATAATCGTTTGTCTACCTTAGAAGATGCGATGAATGAAATCATGAAAATGAGAGAACTTTTCATGTCTCATCAATTAGATGTAGCAGCTCCAACATCGCGCGTTTCGATTGAATGACCACTACATTTTAAGCTAACCAAGTTAGTAACAATATACCCATATTTTTAATTTATTAGTTGAAATGTAACCCCATAATCAATGTGTGATCAAATATGAATATATGGGTCTTTCAATGTGAAAAATATTCCTGTGACATTTTTTCCAACTGCCAGTAATATGGAATAACAAACTAGATTCCTGTAACATTGCTGATCTGTTTAACATTTTCTGCCCAAATGTTGTTAATCTAGCTCATCTTTTATGCTAGTACTACTTATAGAATAGTTAAATTTAAATTTAAACTGTTAATTTAATTGAAAACAGTTGGTTAGAGGTGGAGATACGTTGAGGATAGGTGACGAGACAAAACGAGGTAAGGCGAGAGATGATCCATTGCCTTAAGCAGTTCTAATGGTTCATATTTAAGCTTTATTCTCTTAGTACGTCAGATTGAATTAGTTGGAAGAGAATATTATTGCCTCGTGAATTGTGATTTAGTCTTCACCCCTACTTGCAAGGATATGTTGTATCATTTCAACAATCATCCTATAATCAATGTCAATCTTTTTTATTCTAGTCACTGTATCCTATACAACAACGTTCTTTAATTATTTTAATCTATAAATACATGCCAGAGGAGTGTGATCTTTGTGACCCTAAAAGTCAGGTGGTATGCTCATATCAGTTTATTTAAAACTGACTCAACAGAAATACTATATCTCACATTGTTTTATTCTCTGCGACTGTTGCTGATCGATGGATTCCCATGCCTATAGAGCAGCTGCCTGCATTCAAAATAAATATTAGTGTATGAATCATGACCTTTGTTAGTCAGGTGGATTATTTATTCTCAGTTAGTTTAAATTTGTAGATTGGAGATATTTTAAGTCCTATTACAAGAGCTATTTGTGTTGTCACACATGACTCCTCCTGCTCCTCATTACTAGAGCTATTCGTGCTGTCAAACATGACTCCTCCTACTCCCACATTCGTGTTTAGTTTGTAGCCCGACTACGACGGTACCCATAATTGTTTGCACCACCTACTTGTCTATAGTTGTATGCAAATTTAGTGTTTGTTTAGAGAATAGTTAGAGCTACATTCGAACATTTCAATTTAAGAAAAGTCAGTTAGATGAGGATACGAGTGGAGGTGAGTTGACGAGACAAGACGAGATAAGTTGACAGACTGATGCATTGCCTTCAAATAAAAATAAGAAGGCATAACATCTAGATGAATTAACAACAACTGCGCATATAATTTATGATGACTCTGTTTTTTGTTTCCCACACAACTTCTTAACGACATAATTTTTTTTTAATTTTCTACTTGCTGCAACAAAATGTTGCAAGCTACCCTGTTTTAATGGTTTCTGCCTAGATGTTGTTAATCTAACTCGTCTGTTTTGCTAATTCATTCCATTTGTTTATATTATCTTACTTATGTTATTTTGTGGTTCTTCAAAATATATTTTGGGTTCTTTTCTAATGTATCTCAAAGTTTTCTAATATATTTTTCTTATTTCTTAAAGTTTCTACTGATGTTTCTGTATATCACTTGACAAAGACTATTTTTTGCCAGACTTTTTTCATACTTCAGTGAAGAGGCAAGTTTAGAAGATCCACTAACACGTTACTAGTAATCTGCTATTAATGTTTTGTGAAACATTGGATGTTATCCATGTATTTTTGTTAAACAAAGATAACGAAACTAACATCATAGGAGGTTAACTAATTTATTGTTATTAATCGCACTGCTATTATCTCTATCTTCTTATGCCCTTTTACTATATCATCCATTTTGTATCCATATAGTTTAGTAATTATTTTTGTATTTGTTGATGAAAATAGATTCTTGTGATATTAATGTCTCTTGGATCAAAGGTGGCTGGTTAGACACTACACTTATTGATTGTCTCTAATGGTCAAACTAGGATTAAAGTTGTTGCTCGTCTTTAAAGCTGTTTTAGGAGCAGATTGCTGTTCATTTCTAAAACTAATCTAGTACTAGTTTTATAAGGTCGTTATAGTTGTTCTAGGAATAGATTTATCATAGTCTCTAATGATATTTTAGAACCAGGTCATACTCGTCTCTAAAACTATATTAGGACCACATTGCGTACAGTTCCAAAAGAGTATTAACGAAATGAATACCAATGATATAATTGGTCTAATTGATACCAGGTATTTTGTACCTAAAAGAATCTCATGACTAGATATTTGGTCCGTCGCAAAATTATTTAGGGACGAGAATTTTGAACTCATCCTTACATACAAATAGCAACTGTACATTCTAGGACGAGTGGCGACAAAGTTTTTCTTGTCTCAATTGCAAATTTGACACAAGATTTTAATTTCAGGGACTAGAATTCCCTTTCTTAAAGACAGTGTTTCTTGTAGTGTATGAAAGATACATGGTTATGATATATGATGTTACTCTTACATGAATGGTGATCCTTATAATGATATGTTATTGAGTTATATTGTTATATGAATCAAAGCTTTACTTATGGTCTCCTATCTTATCTACTTGGTTATGTGGGGTTATGGGCTTCACATGGCCATTGCACTTGTAGGTTGGGGATGAGATCATTGGTAAGTGTTTTGTGTGTTATATTTATATGATTTATTGAATATGAATTGTGAACGTGACTTTATGACAATATGCCATCAATTATGATCATGATTTAAGTGATGGAATTGTTACTTGTATATGTTATATGGTATGTGCATTGAGGACTTTCATATTACTTAGCATGTTTTCTAAAGAATGATAAATGATACTTCTCTATGTGTTATGTGCATATACCCATACTTAGTACGTGTGTCGTACTAACCCCATTACATTATTTTACTACAACTGTAGCTTCCGGCCATTGAAGTAAGTAAGTCTTTTAGAATAAGCTTGGAAATCTTTCTCAATGTCTTGGTATGTCATCATGTTCGGGACGCTATCATTTGTATTCCAGCCTTATGAAGACTTTAGTAGAATTTTAAGAGCATAGATTTTCATTATGTTCTTTGGATGCCTTTCTACTAAGGCCTATATGACATATTGATTATTATGGTATTAGCACTCTTAGATGGCTTTATATATGTTAGACAAGTTCTACAACACCGTATGAATATTGTGTATGAAGTCTAAGAATACTTCAATTAGTATATTATAGGTTTTTAATCTTTCTGCAATTTTACTATCGCATGTTATGACGAATGCTAAAAAGGGGCTTGTTTGTTACCTCTGAGTGGTAAACAACAACGTTCTCATCCGCAGTCCAGATTCCGGGGATGATAAACTTTGTAGCAGAGCGTGAGGTTAAATATTGGAATATTAAACTTTGTGACAGAGCATGAGGTTATTATATGGAATCTTAAACTTAGTATCAAAGCACGAGGTTAAATACCCTTAAGGTCAATGTCACACTAAACCACATTACCTAGCATCTTGTTCATGGTTGTGAAGCGCGCCTCAATCGTGGACGAGAGTCTAAATGATTATTAGGAAACTTCTCTTTTCTTGATACTATTATGTCCTGCCTCAAGATATTTCACACTATGTGTCTTTTAGAATATAATCCCTTTCTTGTGTGCATAGGCGACGAACACAAGAAGGACAGCCCCTAGAAGAGTAGGGGAAGAGATTGCGAATGTGGGAGCTATTTTTGAAGGTAACCAAAATGCTCCTGAAGTGCAAGTTGCTGCAAATGATCAAATTCTGGTGAATCCTCCAGTTATGACGGATGGTGAGGTGAGGTCATCCCTATTCAAAATGTCTCAAGCCATCACCACCCATGCTCAAGCAATCACAACTCAAGCTAATAGGGAAGTTGTACCTCGAGAGAACCATGCTAGTACTAGTGCTAGTTTTTTAAGAGATTTTACTAGGATTAACCCTCCCATGTACTTTGGATCAAAAGTTGATGAGGACCCAAAAGATATCCTAGATGAGGTCTACAAGATTTTGTTTCCCATGCGGTTGAGTACTATTGAGAAGGCTT